TGTACGGCCTGACCAGCTACCGCGTGCTGTGGGGCCCCCAGCACGACGCCAAGTGCCTGGTGGGCTGGGGCGGCGGCACCCTGGTGTGCTGCTTCCGGGGCACCGCGTCGCTCAGGAACATGCTGTCAAACCTCAAGGTGGGCGGGGTTGGGCTGGGCGTCGCATGAAGGGGGTTGCAGCGCGTGTTGGATGGAGGGGCTGCAGTTTGTCGTCGGCAGGGCACTGCTTGTGCCCTGTTGGCGGTACCCGCTGCTATTTCTTTCTCGGTGTGTTGTCCTGCTGTCCTGTGCCCACCACCCCTGCAAGGTCTGCCCACAGCACCCAACCCCACCCCCCGGGCTGTGTCGGGCCGCTGCCAGGTGTGGCGCGCGGCGCACCCGCCCCTGCGCGGCAGCTACTGGCTGTGCCAGCAGCCCATGGTGCACTGGGGCTTCCTGAACACCTGGCAGGCCAACGGCCTAAACACGCAGGTGGGCCAGGCCTCCTGCGCCCGTCGCCCACGCGGCAACATATGCGCAGCCGCCAGGCCTCCTGGCCACAGCTGGTGCCGGCATGCGGTTGCCAGTGCGCAGTGGTGACAGTGCGCAGTTCACATTGGGTTGAGTATGTAGATGCAGATAAAAAAGTAAGTTCTGTTGTCGCTTCTTGCCCCCCGAAACGCCCGCGCCGCCTGCGCCTGCGCCTCGCCCCCTGCCTCCTGCCTCTCCGCTGCCCAGGTGCTGGGCACGCTCCGCGAGGTGCTCACCACCAGCCTGCCGCCGCCCGCGGGCCGCCCCTGGCGCCTGCTCTTCACGGGCCACTCGCTGGGCGGCGCGCTGGCCAGCCTGGCGGCCCACGACGCGGTTGCGCTGGGCGCCTCGCTGGCGGCGGCGCTGCCGGGGGGCGCCCCGCAGGTACGGGTGTACACCTTTGGCGCGCCGCGGCCCGGCAACCACGCCTTTGCGCGGGACTACCTGGCTACTGTGCCGCACTCCTTTGACGTGATCCACTGTGACGACGCCGTGACGCGGGGAGGTGGGCAGCGGCGGGGGGTGGGCTGCGGCGGGCTGCGTGTTCTTGGGGGCTCCTCCCGAGGCTGCGCTGTGAGGGTGTGGGTATGCAGAGGGCAGCGCGGCTGGCCTGGGGCCCGCTGTGGGGCGCTGCCCTCGCCTGCCTGGCCTCTGCACCCGCCCTCCTCCCGCCGTGATCACCCCGCATGCCGACCACCACCCCCACCGCCTGCCACGCACCGCCCCGCCACCCGCCCCACACGCCTGCCCCGCCTCACCCGCGCCCCGCCCGCCTCCCGCTCCCCGCAGGCAAGTTTTTGTTCCTGTACAAGCGCGCCGCGCACCGCGTGGTGCTGTCCCCCACCGGCGACCTCATCGTGCGCCCCTCCCTCATAGAGCGATCCGCCAAGGAGAGCTTCCACACCTCCCTGCAGCAGCACCTGCTGGGAGAGTACGGGCGCAGGTGGGGGCGCAAGCGCTGGACTGCCTCCGCTGCTGAGTGTAGCGCTGCCGCTGCTGCTGCGGCTGCTGTTGTGGCTTGCATGAGGTGGGCGGCGTGGGTCAGAATGCTGCGGTGGTCGCCAGATGCCAGTCACTCATGCCAGCCGCGCCACCCGCATGCGCGCCTGCCCGCTGCTCGCAGCTTTGCGGCGCTCATTCGCGGCCAGTTTGTGCGTCGGAAGGAGCACAACCAGGGGCGGCGCGGCTGCGAGGCGCTGCTGCAGTGCGAGTGAGTGTGGGGTGGGCGCGGGAGGGGCGGGCTGGGGCGGGGCGGGACTCTCAACAGCCGCTGGGGAGCGTGAGGTGCAGGCTGAGGTTCAGATCCTGGCCGGCCGGCTGCCTGCTGAGCCCCCCACAGCAGCCCAGTGCAAGCATTGAGCAACGGCCGCTGGCGGCCCCTCTTAGTGCAGATATGTGCAGCAGGTGCTGCGTGCCATGGCGGGGGTGCGGCAGGAGTCGATTCTGCGGTTTGGAGGGCGCATGGCCACGCTGCCGCCTGGCCGCCGCGGCGACCAGCACCTGGCCAGCGGGGAGCAGCTACCAGCACGGCCGCCTGCCCACGACAGCGCACGTGCGCTCAGCCTGGGGGTCACGCTCTCTCAGGCGCTGTCGCTGCGCCGCGCTACCTGGTCCCCGCAGCTTTCGGGGCGCTCCTCCTGGCCCTTGCTGCCGAGGGGCGGCTTGCAGGGGCAGCACGGCCCACACCAGGCGGCGCGGCAGCCTGCGGGGACGTCACGGCTGGCAGCCCCGCAGCGTGCGCCAGCAGCAAGGCGGCTTGCAGAGCCAGGAGCGGAGAGAGCGGAAGCAGTCTAGTGAGTGATACTTGCAAATACTTGGCCCATTATTCTTTTCATTGTTTCTTGCAATTTGTTGGCTACCAGTCTGCCAACGGCCACTACCATCAAGCTCGGTGGGGCGGGACTGGCGGCACCGCAGCGGCGGGCACCAGGGGGCGTGACGAATCTGGAAATGAGTTCCATTCGCGTCTGCTGCCGCTCCCTGCATCGGGATTGCCTTCAGAGAGCCTGTGGACCACACATCGGCTCTTGACTGCCCTGCTGGCTGGCACTTGCTGCGGGAGGGCAAAACCTGGGTACGGTAGGTTGGCACTGCTCTTCCTTCGCCATCCTCGAGCCGAACTACGCCTGGTTTTCTCGTGAGGCGGTTGTTTGCAGCGCCCGTCATGGTGCGTTCTGCTCGTTGCCCGGCTAGCGCTGTGTGGAGGGCCCCAGCTTGCAGAGCAGCATCCCCGTGCTGCGATGCATGCGGCGCGCCGGCCACCCAGCAGCGCCCGAAACCCTGCCCTGGCGGCGGCCGCCGCCGCCGTCACCGGCCTGCTGCTGCCGCCCGCTCATTCCCGCAAGCCCCTCCGAGCCCCGCCCCCGGCCCCCGCCGCGTGCAGGAGCGGTCTGAGAAGGAGACGCGCAGGCTGCAGCATGCGGTGACGTTTGTGACGCACTTTCTAGCTGAGCTGACCGACTCGTCACTTCTGGGGGTAGACGTGACAGGGAGGGATGTGGTGCGCGTGGCCGCCATGCCCAAGACAGCCATCTACCAAGCCGAGGTGGGGCGCTGGCAGGGCGGGTGGAGGGCCTGGCAGCGGCAGCGGTGGCCGCCGCCCCCCTGCTCCGCCCGGGGGGGGGCAGCCCAGGGGTGCCTTGCGCCCAGCTCGAGGCCCGCCCGCACGGAGCCGCCGCCACCCGCTCACCGCCTCGCCTGCGCCGCTTTGCGTGCCCCCGCCGACTACCCCGCCATCCTGCGGCAGGGCCTGGCCTTCATCCGGCGGCGCAAGAAGGGCTGCCTGCTGTCCTGGGGCAGCGAGACTGTGGTGCTGATCTGGAAGAAAGCGCTGCCGGATGGCACCACTGTCTGGTCGGGGCCCATCTTCCTAAAGGGCAAGACCTGGGGGGTGGGCTTCACACTGGGTGAGCGGGGAAGCGGTGCGGGGCACGCTGTGCACATGAGACAGCACGGCGGGCATCCAATGGTTGCAAGGAGGGAGCTGGCGACCGCGTGCAGCAAAGCATGGCGCAGCGCCACTGCCCGCCGCTCCAGCCACCCCAGCCGCCCCGCCCCGCGCCTGCCTCGCCCTTGCCGGCAAACCCTCGCGCCACCCCCAGCTCCTGCCTTCCTTCGTCTTCGTCCCCACATCATGGATACCCCTCCTGCCCCTATCCCCCCCCACCACAACCACACACACACACAGGCTTCCTCGACATGCGCATCTGCCTGGCCATCCTCAACACCAAGGGCATGGGTGCGGTGCTGCGACCGCACCACAGCGCCACGGTCAGCGCCTCCTTCATGGTCGACATGAACGGCTCCAAGATCCGCGCGCTGCGCACATCCAGCGCGGATGAGGTGTCGCAGGTGGGGCGGCCCGCGCCCGCGTGCATGGCGGGGTGGCGGCGGTGGCGGCAGCGGGGGTGGTGGTGGTGATGAGGCCGGCCGGCCGTGCGGCGATCCAGAGACCTCTCCGCCATTCCAGGCCAGCTGCCTGCCCGCCCTTTTTGGCTCGGCACAACGCAGCAACGCGGCCGAGAACGAAGCCTTGTGCTTGCGACTCCCCCCCCCGCCCCCGCCCCGCCCCGCCCGCCTGGCGCCAGGTCACCACCGACGCGCACGGCGGCATGCAGGCCAAGTACTACTTGCTGGAGGCCTGCATCGTGGACCTGTCTGCAAACGGTGCGCTGCCTGGCGCCGCCTCGTGGGCTGGCGCACGCAGCAACGCACCCGCACATGACAGAGACGCACGCACAGCCACCCCGCATGCGCCCTCCCCACCCACCCACCCCAC